GCCTTTGACCAATTGTCTGCTAAAAAGTTGTGGTATCACTCCTGTCCTGGGCCATTCACCTATCCTATATCCTCATATCACCTCCTCAATACCACTATGTATTACTTGTTTATCTAAACCTATTTGAAACCTATTCACACTTGCCACCGGTTTTTACATTCTTCTCACTGTATGGAGTATTGAGCCAAAGCTGCGATTTAATCCGCATTCCTTTCCCCTTGGGTCCGCCCCAAATTTTTCTTACCATTCAGTCAAATTTGGATAAGTTTCTCAATTTTATAAACCAACTTGATGGAAGAATTACATTCACAATTGATGTGGAGGCAGATAAGCAACTACCCTTCCTGGATGTTGAGATCATTCACTCCAAAGGAAGTTTGGCAAACGGATCAGGTAGGTAGGGAAAAAATGCACCAGTATTCCCCTTGGGTATAAAGATAGTTTAATCATGCATCAACAAAAAGACAGCATATGATAAGGCAGTCAATTCAAGCGTAATAATCAATTTAGACTAATAGTAAGAAATTATATGCTAAGCCAAATCAAAACCTGATTATAATAAGCTAAAACCAAGTGAGGAAGATGTGTAATAATTATATAAAGCGACGACGAATTTGAAGTAATAATAACAAAGAAATTCAATCTAATGCAAAGTAAATATTGCGAAGAAATTTAGGAATTAAAGAAATGAGGTAACATGCGAACATCAAATAATCATTGCAACCTCTGCACTTATATGAGCATAGAAAAATCAAAATTATGAGAAGATATTGATAAACATAAATAAAAGATATATACATGCAGATACAGTAGTAAAACAACTAAATACTATATTGCAATGTTAATGAGCAAGTGGTGGAATATGTAAACAACAAATTTCTCTTATACCAGATGCAATCAAAAAACTCAAAAATAATAAGTGATAATTTCAAAGAAGTGGGTTGGCCTCGTTGTCGCAACTTGGTCTTGTCAGGTCGACTTAGTATAACGCACCTAGTCCGAAGTCGTCTGCCATAGTAGTTGTCATGTTTCCCAGTGGACTTGGTACATTCTCAAACGCTTCGCCGGCATCGTAGTCGGCATCATCAGTGAACTTTGTCATTATCCACACCAAACTACGAATTCGTCAGAGACAAGTGAAGTTAATACCTCGACAAACGTTCTGCCTAAAGCGGTTACACTATCTGTCCTGAACTATATATCTACTCTTTACCCTCTTATCCAACTCCCGCTCTATCACTTCTGACTTGTTTACATTCCATTCGTCAAGATGTGTGCCCTTTGGTGGCAAATCTAGTGTGGCCTCATCACACTTGTTATTCACCCCGACCCCCTATCCTTCAATCGGCTGATCTGACTCGGGCCTCCAATCCGGATCCCCTCATTGTCTCGTAGATCCGTTCCTTATCTTTCTGGTTGATATATAGATAGGCCAAGACAGAAAGAGGAGTGATAGTGTAACCGTTTTATACAGAACGTTTGTCGAGGGATTGACTTCACTTGTCTCTGACTAGTTCGTAGCTTGGTGCAGAAAATTGCAAAACTCACTGATGATGCCGGTGAAACGTTTGAGGATGTACCAAGTCCATTGTCTGATGCTGGGAATCATGACAACTACTATG